ATTCATTCTTTTGGATGGATTTCTAATTCTTAATCTAATTGGTAAAGAAGTGCCCTGGTTAATTAAAATTTTGTGCAATATCAAGAGAAATAAGTAAATAAAAATAGGGTAGAATTAATAATTTGTCAATATTAACTGCAAATTACTACAATAGAGAAAGCACATGTTATCTTTCCCTAATATTTCCTTAACAGTTTTTAATTATGCTCATAAATATGTATAAATACATAGATGTATAATAAAGAAAAAAGGTTAAAATAATATTATGAATTAAAAAAACATGTGATTTATCATATGGGTAGATTTAATTGTGCCAAAAGGTGTAGATTTTGTTAAAAGTCTAAGATTATTCTTAAAAGGTTTACAATCATTTTCAAAGCAGACTTTATTTTTATGAAAGTTAACATACAGAAATATTGTAGTGTACTGGATCCTAAGAAACTCAATACAAGTTTTTCCTAGGTCAACACTCATCTCATATAGATAGGATATATGTATCACAAATAATTAAGAAATACTGGTATTAATGAAAGCCCATATTGAAATCACACTTCCTTAATTTGTACATACTGACTTTTTTGTATTGTATCATGCTGTTTAGAGAACCATTAAATTTATTCATTTTGTGTTTCTAACAGCCTCTTGGCTATACATTGTTTTCTTAAATATTTGTTGGTTTTGATGTCCTTGAAGGCTTTAAGGAGTATTTACTAGGCATTTTGTAAAGTGACACTCCCGGATGTGTTTGCTCTTTTCTCATGATGAGGCAGGGGGTGTGGATTTTTGAAAGGACAGTGACTAAGATAAAGTGCTATTTTCACTGTATGTCAAAAGTGAATAACTACACTATGATGTGTCAGAGTTGATGTTGAGGTTAAGGTTGATTTTGATCAGATAGCTAAGTAAATACTTCTCAGGTTCCTCTACATATTTTTATTCCCACTAGCATTCCAATTCCATCACACTTCCTTGGAAAAAAGTCATCACGTCAATAAGTAAGGAATGCATAGCCAAATCAAACTGTCTGAGGGTGGAATATGTACCTATGTTATTCTGGAATTCTGCAAGGAGTATTATCTCTCCTATTACTTATTTATAACCAGCATCATTTCACAGAAATTGTTGTGTATTTTGAATATTATGCTTCCCATTTTGTTGTCTCAGATTTGGCCATTTGTCAGTTCACTCGCTCAATTGGTTCTGGAATTCTCTTTTATATCCACCATCCTGGATAATTGTTGTAACTTTTTATTTGTTTGATTTACTCATTTTTTGAGTTATTTCTTATATTTTAGCATTGAAATATGGTCCAGCTTTGTTTTGTGTGTCTCCTTGTTCCACCCTAGGATCACATGTTTTGCCAAAATAATTCCATTTTTTTCTTTATTAAAGCATTGTCTTTTTAGAAAATGGTGCAGAGGAAAAGTATCCTGTGTGTGTGTTACTATTTCCTTTATATAATTAGTGGATGATAGGCATTTTGATTCCATATATGGGTAATTATAAATACTGCTGTAATAAATGTAAAATATAGTTATCACTTTCATGATTTTATGTCTTACTTACATAAAAATTAGGGATATTTTTATATCATATGGCAAATACAACTTCATATGTGGAAGCTTAAAAACCTAGTCTGAAATGCAGTAGTAATTGTTAGTGGGAGACATATTTGGAGAGAAATGTTGTTTGTATAATAGATACCTAATCATAGATTAAATGAGTAAGTCCTTAGCATTACGCAGCTGATTAAGGTAACTCTAGTTCACCACACTTATTACGCTCTGTATGAGCAAACAGTAAAAAGTACGCCAAGATTTAATCATAAAATAATGTCAAAAAGAGGGGTATTGATTGCTCTGGTTTGAATGGGATTCATCACACATGCACATTTTGAATTGTCACTCTGTAACATAAAATACATATACTATTGTTGAAAATGATACAGGAATTGGAAGTATGCATTACTACTGGGGGATTCTTGATCTCTTTAGCTGAAGCATATCTGTGAATTAGCTACATACGTACATATGTCTGTAAATAGTTCTGTATATGATCGCTTGTGGTTATATTAACCTAAATGGAAAACCATGCCTATGTTTGCAACCATGATTCATTAGCAAGGGTATCATACTAACCTCTTTTCTTTCCTTATCAGTAAACATCTACTGTGATGGTGAAACTTTTGGCTTATACTATCACTCACTTACAGAAATCCTGAAATTCATTGATAAGTAAATAGATATAGATATCACTCTGTATTACCAAAGGGTATTTATAAAGACTATTGCCAATTCATTCCTGTGTTTCTTGATATTTCTGTTGTTTGTTAAGCTTAATATATGCTGTATTCACCCAAACTTTGTTATTAGAATTACTTGAAATAAATTATTGCCCTGTTGATTAAGGATAAGAAAGACAAAGTACTTCAATTTTCCATCATTTAATTCTGCTGTAACGCTACTTTATTTTCACGTAAGTATGTCTGAATTTGATGCATTTATGTATTTGAAAGGTGTAGTGACAACTACAGAGAGGAAGAGAAAAATCTGCCATTTCCACAAATGGCCACAAATCTTAGGACTGGGCCAGGCTTATGTCAAGAGTCTGGAACTCTGTCTAGATAAGGGACATGGGTAACAGGCACCCAGATATTAGAGCTATCATCCACTGACTTTCCAGGTCGGTTAATAAGAAGCTGGGCCCAAAGTAGAATCACTTAAGACTGAAATCATCACTCTGATATGGGATTCCAGTGTGAATCAGCAGATTAACTTTCTGCATCACATGACCAGCCCTTAGAACTTCCTTTAACGTTTCTTGCTGGGAAAGTCTTGGTTTTAATTCTCTGTGAAATTCTTCACTCCTGAAGAACAATTTCATCAGGTATTGAATTCAATGTAAATTGATTTTTGTCCACCAATGTGTTTAATATTTTATTCTATACTCTTCTTGTTTCCATGGTTTCCTGACAAGAAATTACAAGTTGTATCCATGTTGCTATGTTTGTAATGTATTTTCAACCTCCCCTCATACCTCTGGATTCTTCCAAGATTTTCTCTCCATTTTCCACTTTCTGAAATTTGGACGTTAAATGCTTAAGGGTAGCTATTTTGGTGCTTTCCTTAAAACTTTAGTTTTCTTCGGGTCAGGAAAAGTGTATTTTTAGTGTACATAGCATTATTATTATTTTCAGGGAAAGCGTATCCGTTTTCAAACTCCTTAGAGGCTGCAGTTGGAATCAAGAATCCATGCTGAATATTTTGTACATTTATGGAAAAGTCATATTCAAGAGTGTAAAAGGACTGAGTGTTTTTAACAGTTGAAAAGATTGGGATGTTGAAGGTTCTAAAGAAAGTGCTCTTTCTCACTGGGTTCACAATGCTACTGAATTATATACAACCAATTCTTCTGAAATATTAAAGTATACAGCAAACTACCAGTTAAAAATCCTATGGTTTTTAATGAGATTAAGTTTTAAAGCAAAACTTGCTATTAATTGAATGTGTGCTTGTATCTATTTGCATGTGTGATTTACTAAGTGAATAATAAGAGCTATTTACAAGCATTTACAAGCATTTTCTTCTTGTCAGCTAAATGAAATATACCTTTTTACCTATTCCAACCTTCTATATTAAGAAAGTGAGATGCCAGATTTCATGCTGCTAATTGCTAATTATTTCACTTCCCGAAAGAGTATGAATTATCTGCCACTCAGACCTATTTTGGGTGGAATCTGTAAGATGCTAAATCAATCCTGTTTTACCTATAGAATCAGTGCAATGGGCTGAGTCAGTTTCCACACAGCTTAGTGCTTGTGCTGCTCACTCTTGTCCCTCTAATGCCAGAGCTTTTGCCTCTGTACACAAAATGGCACCTGACATGGCACTGGTGGGGTTCTGTTCTTGCTGGTCACTAGATCTGGAAACCAACTCAATCTGTTTTGGGTGGAGCCTGTAGGATGCCAATTTGGCACAGATTTCCCTGTGGTACTAGTGCAATGCGCTGAACTCTCTGTGGGTTTATTCCCAGTTTAGTGCGTGTGCAGCTCACATTTGTCCATCCAGTCCTACAGCTTTTGCCACAGTATACAAAATGGCATCTGATCTGGCACTGGTAGGGATCTGGTCCATGAACTCCAGCTTGTTCCTGCACTGCCTACAGAGTCTGCCACTCTGTCTCAGCTCATGATCAGATCATATACATCAGCAGGACTGGCAGTTCCTTGCCTGTATTCACCGCCTGAGCTCCTGGTGAACTTCCCCTCCCCCTGGCTCCTTGTGGAGCTCTAGTTGCCAGAGGAGCCCAGAATACTGTTCACTGACTGCCACTGTAGCATCTGGTGACTGAAACAGTGCTCTGTTGTCTAAGCTGCTCCCCTGCCCATGAGTCCCCAGGTGGCCCCCTGCCATCAGCTGATATATCTTCTCCTATCTTCTGGAATCTTCCCTCTCTGCTTCACCCTGGCTAATGATTCTCTGACAGTTTAAACCTATCCTCACCCTATACCACCATCTTGCTTGTCAGTTTTAGGTATTTCAACTTTGTCGTGTTCCAAACTCAAAACATTTATGCCCTCCTCTTTTTCTGGCAGTGGTATAGTTAAATAAGGTACAAAATATTTCAATGAAGGTACTGTTGTTTCATGTACATGTTTACATTTTTTGGATAGTACACTTCCATGATGTAACAAAGGCAAGAGTGTTGCTCTGCTTGATCAGTAATGAAGTCTACATACCCAGAACAGTTTCAGGTGCTCATTTTATATTGACTGCATAAGTATTTTCTGTGACAGAATTTGAAGTCTCTGAGGGCTGTAGTTTTTCCTGTCAGCTATCAATTTATTTCTAATGTCAAAGCAATTATTTAGAAACGTATATCTGCTAATTGATTTCCTAAATATGAACTGAAAAAAATTTACTAGTATTAAAGCATTGGTAGTAGAAGGGAAATATGATATAGACTCTCATTTTTATCACCAAGAACTCTATTTGACTTACCAATGATTCATTTTATTGATTAGTTTGTGGTACTCCTGAAAATATTTTTTTCAGTTTCAGTTTCAGGTTTTTTTTTTCGGTTTTCAGTTATTGCATGATATTTTAAATAAATTTTCCTAAAGATGGAAAGAGCATAATATATCAGCTCAATTATTATGACACAGGTTAACACATGTATGTTTGAATCTTTATAACATGGAATTTACATAATTCAATTTGCTTCATTAGTTAAGCCAATTTCCTTCAGAAAAAAATGTATATCATCACCGGAAAGCCATGTAGGACTCAAAAAAAAAAAAAGAAAAAAGAAAATAGACTTGAAGGAAAAATTGTGGTCTCGTACATTTTACACTCATGATTGATGGGATGATAATTTTAAATCTACTGAAAAAGATAATCAATGATTATTGTTGGATTAAGTATGTAATATAAGTATATATAAGTGGACTCTAACATTTCTCACACCACGATAAATTTATCAATGAATTTTACTACTCATGAACTTTAAAAGTACCTTAATACATTTTGAAGTCGTATTTTAAACTGAGAAAATGTAGGCATACTATAGTCTAATCAATTTTTACTTGTAGGCTTTTTAAATATCCTCAGTTTTAATCCTGTAACTAGTGCTATTAGTGTGTTTATTTTCTTACTAAATCTCTAAAATAACTGGATGATTTACAAGTTGATGAAAAAGCCAATAATATTTTTGTTTCTGTGCCAGTATCATGTTTATCATAACAAAAGATCATTGCATTTCCTCCTTAATCCTCATTTCATCTTTCTAAAATTGAGTTCATATTCATCAAATAATAGCATCACAGTTTAAGATAATGTCGATTCCAGGGAACCTCTGAGGATGCTATGCTTTTTCCTTGACAATTTGATAGAGTGGAATTCTAAAGACATCATGTGATGATCATCTGAAGAAAAATTTAGGGGATCAAGAAAACCAGGTGTAATGCCCCCAGAAAAACTGCAAGTTTATGGATTCACCATCAACAAAGGGACTGGTGGTTCATGAAGGTTAATATAATATGCTTTCTTTGACATGATATTAATTTTATATTTCCAGTTATATTGTCCAATTCATGCTAATTTTCTTTCTTATTTTTCGTTTGTTTCTTTTTTTAAATATTTTCCCTTAGGATTCCTAAAGAGACTGTATTGAGATGGAGGAAAAAACCTCAGAAAATGTGCCATATTTATAGGATGCCAGTCTCTTCAGCACTTCCCAAGGTATGCTGCTGCATCGCAATCAGGAATGCGAAGAGCTCTCCTGCTGAGTTAACAGGTTTCTGTTGTGATGAAAAAAGTTAAAATTATAGTAATTTGGAGGGTCAGTAATATAAGCACTCCGCATCTTATGCTTAGCCAGAAATTGAGTATGTCATCTGGATTCATGACTACTGCTGAGCACTTAACCTTACCTAACATGAGGAAGGATTTTACCAGGCACTTTAAGTCCATTTCCACTAACTAGGAAAACTACTCTGAATAATGTTTTTCTTAATTCATATGTGAATACTATGCTACCGATTCTCTGCTTACTGATGAACACAAGCATCTGTTGGCTAATAATTAATTCTGATGATACTCATTATGTTAACGAAATGCAAGAAGTGACAATGTAGAACATAGAGATAATGTGTAATTGTTTTTTTCTCTTCTCTCTCTCTGTTCTCCTTTTCAGCTACCCACACAGGAATGCCATGTAAATAAGACATCTTTTGGAAATTTATCACGGGCACCATGAGAACTCGTAAAATGAGGATTATCTGAAATTTGATTATGAAAAAAAGGATGATGTTTATTCAACCCAATTACCAAAGAATAAAAATACCATTGACAATAGTTTCAGGTTGATTGAGTAGGATAAAAAAGATGTCAGAACTATTAAATTGCATGTTCCAAACTCTCAAATTGTGTGTTCTCTGTATCATATAGTTATAGGCACTTAAAATAAAATATTTTTATAATTCGAGTGTGTTAGCAGTCTTTTCCTGCATACATATCCTGTGAAGAAACACATGTAGTGAAGGCTAATATTATCAAATGATCAAATTTCACCTTGCAAGGTAATGCTGTGTCACCAGGAAGAAATGATCCATCCAGAATTTCAAGCATCCAGCCACTCGGATGATTTCTCTTCCTTATTCTCAAAATAAAACCAGAAAGTTATTCAGACATCATTTACCAAGACTCACTTTTACATTTCTTACACATCTAAAAATTATCTGCATTCATCTGTGCCTCTTTATTTGACATCAGTTCTGACTACTTGAAGAGCAAAATGGTAGAACCACTCACTATATGGGAATCTCTAAAATGACGCAATGACGCATTGAACATCCTTTTGTGCACTCTGAGATACCAACACAAACAGAAAATACACAGTGTTGGCATACTGGTAGGATCAGACAAATTTATGCCAGAAAAAAGCAATGCCATCAACCTCTGAGGTAGGCTAAGTGAATTGCAAGATTATGACTATGGAATAAGCTAATTCGGTTGAATAGATATAAGATAGAAGATAGGTATCTCTCAAATATACGTTGTAGCACAAGAGGCTTTACAATCATCTAGTGCGCTGAACATTTTAAATCCAAATACCTTTTAGTGTAACAACCAAGACATCTAGATTTTGCTGAAAATTTTTAAGATCTGAAAACAGACAATACACCTTAATAGAACCTCCTATCTGTTTCACACAACTAAAATTTTAATTATGTTTCTAGTTCTGTTTATAGATTAAGAAGGGTGGAATACACAACCTGGCAAGTGTTTTAGAACTATGTTAATAACAGTTCATGTGAAAACTTACAAAGAAGGCAAAGAGCAGCATAATTCTGTCCATCCAAAAGTGATATTATGGTGTAATACATGCATCAATGTGCTTTGTGGATATAAAACATTCAGAATACTCCCAGCAAAGAATATTCTGCAGTCAGATTCAAACTCGGGATACAAAGGGCTTGTGTGTGTCTAAGATTTATTTATTTTCATTTGAAAGTCAGAGAAAGACAGACAGGAAGAAAGATCTTTTGTTTACTGGTTCATTCCTGAAATGGCCACAATGTTAGAGCTGAGCCAATCCAAAGCCAGGAGTCAGGAGCTCTTCCAGGTCTCCCATGTGAATGCAGGATCTCAAAGACTTGAGCCATCCTCCATTACTTTCACAGGCTGTGAGCAGGAAAGCTAGATCAAATGTGGAGCCAGCTGCCAAATGGGAAGGTGGCATAAGCAGGTAGAGGATTATCCTGTTAAGCCACCACCACAGACCCGAGAAGGTTTTCAAAACAACCACAAAATTAACTTCTCAATAATGCTTCATATTCTTTTTCTACCATCTGAGAGCTTTTATGACTTCATTTCACACATAGAGTCTGAAGATTTATATTTGGATTTTTCACTTCAATTTTCCAAAACAAAATTTGAATAACAGAAGAATCATTAAAAAGTCATGCTTGTTTTTTGCTTTGGTAATTCATGAGATGTAAAACTAGGTATACTTGATTTAAATTCTAGTTTGTCATTTATTACTTATGTCATCAGAAAGATCTTATTAGGTAAGTTTGACGTTTCCATTTCATGTAAGAATATACTAATAACAGAATAAATGTTGATCATATGATTATCCACCCATGTTATCTGGAATATAATTTTATGGTAGTGTTCTGTTAGCTTAAGACATCTTCCAGAAGAACACTTGCACACATGAGGATCTTAATCGTACCTAATATAATAAGTCATATACATCGCTTTGGTCTACTATCATCTGCTATGTGACTCACTAGAACGATTTTTCAATTTTTATAAATTTTGTCTCTGCAACTGTTTTAAAACTCTTTTCAGAAAACAACACAAATATCTATAAAAATATTAGAAAAGGGCCTGGCATTCATGCACCACATTTTGCCAAGGCTATCTCTAATTGAATACTCAAAAATACTTATGCAACATTTACCTTAATTTCATATAGCAGTTAACAGAAGGAGATAGAGAAAATGTCAGTTCCTTTCCTGTTTTTAGAAACTGCCTTCTGGCCTTGGACTTAAAGTCTATTTATCACATTTTATGTGATTATTTCTTCTAAAGACAATGTAAAGAGGGGCTATGTGATTGATTATGAATGTGAAAGCTCATTAAATAATTCACAAAACGTAAAGCTTCGGAATACACTTGTTTCTTCATTGGCTTATGAATGAGTCCTTTCAATATCTTTCGCTCCATACTTACAACAAATAAGAGGGCTCTAATTTAGAGACAAGAAACAAATTTTTTTTTACTCACCAGAACTTTCTAAATTGACATTCTTCAGATGTGTCTTAATATTATTTAAATTTATTCATCTTGGCCAGAATTGTGGCTGGCTGACTGTGATATTGGCATCCCATATGCGCACAGGTTTGAATCCCAGCTGTTCCTTCCTTCATGGGCTTGAATGCAGCAGAGGTTGGCCAAAATACTTTAGCTCCCGCCACTCACGTAAGAAGCCTGGGTGGAGCTCTGGGTTCCTGGCCCAAGTCCAGTCCCTGTGATTGCAGCTGTGTGGAGAATCAGCCAACAAATGGAAAATCTCTTTTTGTCTGTTTTCCCTCTCTTTGTAACTCTGACTTTCAGTTAATAAATAGCAATTTAGCAAAATATATATATATTAGTTATATATATATATATATTAGTTATAGTATGCATCCCATTTGCTACAACAGGTTATTGGAATGCAGCGGTTTAAGTGCCCACTTACAACAGCAACACTCCACGTGAGAGTGGCAGTTCAAATCCCAGCTGCCACTGCACCCAGAAAGGCAGTGGAAGATGGCCCAGGCACGCAGGGCCCATGTGCAAGACTGAATTTCATATTGTGATCATGTGTTGGTTTTCTTACCCAACTGCATTAAAAATTCTAAATTTCTAATAAGTCTGAAATCATCTGAAAGACTTATTTCTGTTTTCCTTCTCCATCCAAAGTATCCGATTTTAATAAATATATGTAAGGATTGGGAAGTTCATGTTTTCACAAATTTCCCATGGGTGCTGATCCTGCAGACCTGTGGGCAGCACTGATAGAGATAAAAGTGGAGTCATGGAGAACAGAGCTTTTTTAAAATACCAGGTCAGATGGTCTGCTTCAACCAGAATTCACTACCATCACAAAATGTCCTTATGATGCTGATAAAACTTGATGCAACGCTAATAGTTGTCAAGATAACTGTCAAAAATGCTTAAGGATATTTGAAGTATGATTTTACATAAATAAATACTTGCAAATAATTTAAAATTCAAAATAATACACTAAAGATTGAAATGGGAAAAATCCCCTTGCCCACTTTTTTTATCTGCAATTAAGGATCCCAAGAGCAACTATGTCCATTTCTAACTCTGTGTTCATATGTAGCGCATAAATTACTGCTTTAATTTCCTCCATTTTTTGTATAGTATACTGTTTCATATGTTTGCACATATATACAATACTTTATATATATAACTATATATATAAAAACCATTATAAATATAATTATAAATAAAGTATTGTATATATGTGCATACATAAAATATATGTATTTATATTTTATATATGAGATATAAATATCTTACTTCAGCATTCCCTTCTGCCTCAAGCACAATTAAAACACAACTTTATTAAGCCACCATCCTCTCATTAAATTTTTGGACCCTTTTTTACATTGTTTCTTTTTTTCTAACCTTATTAATTCACCCTTCTATCACTACTTATGTTTTAATATATGCACATCAATTTATCTTAATCTTTTTAAAGTACTCTAACTCTAGTGTTTGTGTGTGTGTGAAATAGGTTTTCCATCACAGGGACAGCCCTGTTGGGGCTTCTTTCTCTTCAACTTGCACCATCAGAACTTTTAGTCCTATATTATTTTGCTTTCTAATTTCATCACTCTTATCATTTGTCACTCTTTGACGTATTTATTTATCTATTTTCCTATCTCTTGTCAAGGTGTTTCCTACCTTCTATTTCCAAATTTTTTCTTTACTATGTTTTCCTTACTATTACATTTTTACTTTTTAAGGAATTTTTTCTTATTCTCAAATTATTCCTCTTTTTTTCCCCCCACATCCAGGTCTTACAGTTCTTAAAGTTCTTTCTTAAGGCCTTTGAAAGAATCCAATTTTGATTTCATGGGAGATTTTTTTTCATGTGCCTTACATTGCTTACTTCCAGTCTCTGAATATCCTGTGACAATCTCTCGAGTGTCTGGTAAAAGAGGACTTCCCAGTCCTATGAATGAGTACAGCTGCAAAGATACTGGTATAAAGGGCCGTGTGTGGAGAAGAGTTTGCTGTGGAAGAGATTTCCCATGGCTTTCCTGAGTCTTACCTCAGAGACAGTGCACACATCCCTTTCATTTTATCTGGTTATCCAGAGGTGTCTGTAGTTCTGCTTTTTTGGAATTCTGGTTAGGGAAGACAAATATGTTAATATTGTTTGATATATAAACTCTCATGGAATCCTGATTATTTCACTGTATTTTGGCATCAGTTTACTAGTAGTCAATTTTTTTCCAATGGCCTAGGAAACATTCTTCAGATGTGATATTCAAACTTTAATTCTCAATGTATGAGGAGCACAAAGTAGACGGACCTTGATAGACCTTGAAGGGAAAGCAGGATTGCCAAACTGTTTCTTACAAAAAAAAGAGTTAATTTCTCTTTTCACCTTTCCGTAAAATTCCTCATAGTTCTCAGTCATTTATATAAAGATTAATGTCATGCAAACCATCTGCTTTCTTGATTCATTTTGTGCATTTTAATCATCTTCATTTAGTTTCCAGGGAAAGTAAAAATTATTGTATTCAATCTCCTCTATCATAATAATTTTGTACCTTAAAATTTGTATATAAAATAAGAGATAGCTCTGCATTCTTGTGGCTCACACAAAAATAAGCCCATGTTTTGTGTCAAGACTGGTTAATCTGAAAGTCATGTTTGTGATTTGGTATTTTGTAAATCAGGGTAGGAAAAATGTTCATTATATGTTTAAAATTTATGCATGAATAGATAAAATAGAAATGTGTGATTTTAAATTATATGATTGCTTATATTGGAGTTTTGGTAAAACTTTTAATTACAACTCAAAAATTAACTAGGAAAAAGAATTCACCTTTTAAAATGTTTACTCCAAATTTCCAATGTTTTTGTTTTTCTATTTTTCTTCTATTTTAATATACTAGGTTTGCTTTTGAAATTTTATTTCTTCTTTTGCTTGTAAAGTCATTATTATTCTTAATATTTTATATATACTATTGTCCTTGTATGAGCTCACCACCAAATAAGCAACAAGTTCATTAAATTATATAGAATTATACATTGAATTATACAGTCCCCTAATTTGAAAATTGTCTTTTATAGATATTTATTTATTCCCAAAGGGAAAAGGAAAAGGTAAAAAAGAAGAAACATGTGTTTTAAAAACATTTATGTCCCATCATCTTAACTTTAAAGACAGTGAAATAAATTTAATTCAAAAAGCATGTATTTCTTGCCATCAGAAATAAATACATAGGAAACAGAAGTAATGTATATAGAGATCATCTCCATACTGATGTTATGATATACATGATTTTAGAGAAGTATAAAGTTTGGGTTTTTGTCACGGCTATAAGTGAGTGATCACTTCATCCATGTGTGTAAATATGCACTATACTTCAGCAAAAATCTACATGGGATACAGTACTTAGTACTTTTTAAGTCCATAGGTGATCTATACCTTCCCCTTGTTGCTAAGTTTTAGCTCAAGTTGTTCTTATTTTCTGAGGCTAAATTTAGATGGCAAAAATGGGAGGCATTACTGAACGATGCTATTATAAAGACAAAACAGAACTTTGACACATGGAGTATTATCCTGGCACGTAGCGAGCACTCAATGGATGGTTACTAATAATATAAAGCATTCACATATCTTGATCAAATGTTACAATAACTGGACAGAAATGGCAAAATTAATTCAACTTAGAAGCAAAATTGATAGTATTATCAATATGTGTAACTTGGGTAAGTGAATACAACTAGGCAGCTCTACTTAGAGGAAGGAATGTACTGAATGAACAGTGTCTCTGAATGAAATAAACAGGAAACAGTAGCAGTTGTAGGAGAGGGATGCTGTTTTTACAGAGTAAAATTGATTTAATGTGCATTACTTTGGTCCCTAGCAATCAGTTTCTCTTGCCCATACTCAGAGAAATCACTTATTCAACAAATATTCTTTGATTACCTATTATGTGCCCGTCTGTGTTTTATCTACCGTGCAAAAGGAAATACCTCCTTTTTATGCTTGAATACTTTCCTTTTCCACAGACATTTCCACTGGGCCTGGGAGATGGGCAATTCTATTCATGGACAGATGGTTTGAGAAGAAAGGACTGGCATGACTATGAAAGCATTCAGAAAGAGGCTATGCGCTCAGGTATGAAGTTTAGTGTAAGCCAACATACTACATTACTTACTATAGTGTCTTATTGTTACTTAAAAGATATCTAGTATTTCTTGTGCACACAGAAAAGTATGTCTCACTATTGCAGGTCAACACTGGATAGAACCAAAATGATTTGAAATTTAAGAAGGAATGCATATGATGAACATCTCTTTCAATGTTAGCTGAAAGGAGGTCATTAGCATTTTAGAAATTTGTGGTAATTTACAATGCCAAATTACTTCCTTGGGCTTCTGGGGATTTATAATCTAACAGACCTATAACTCAAGCAAGGTTCATTGCTTCTGAAGTGTATCTAACCAGCAATATGAAGTATCTAAGAGGCAATGAAATTTCTAGACATTTGCAGTGAGGACAAATCAGTGGATCACAATAGCTAGGGATCTGTTTGTCAGCATCTGGACAAACATGAAGTTAATTTGAATCAAATAGGTCTTCATATGTTGTGCTGCATAAATCTGGTGGGGAAGAGTAAGAGGGAAAAGTAGCAGGAAAGAAAAAACACTTCTGGAAGGAATGAAACATTGAACTACTAAGAACAAGGACTCAGAACAATATGTAAGTAGAATTCCAACATAAGTGAATAAAGACAATAGGAAGTCTAATAACACATTCTGTTATTCAATGGAAGGCACTCTGCTTTTTCAGCTAGGTAATCACAGAAGTAGAGCTGCTGGTATTTATCCCTCAGCAGCCTTAAAATCCTGTATTGTAGGTCCACAGTAGCCGAATCTTGACTAGCCACAATGTGTGTTCCTGCTGGCCAAACTACGACATAACTTATTCCTGCAAATAACTAGAGTGAAGATTTTAAATATTTATGAAATTACTCGGTCCTATAAGATGTTCTTAGCTACATGGCAGGAGCTAAATAAAGTAAAGCAACCCCCCTCTCCTCCCCATCTGCATTAGCTCAGCTTGTCCTAAAAATAATTTACTGCTCAAAAGATGGACCACATTCAGGATTCATCATCCTTTCTCCTTGGCCATGGCCACCTGGATGTTCTCAAAAATGATTTTCTTACCAGAACCTGCACTTTCGTGTTTCTCTTGCTTTTTTCTTCTGTTGATTTGTGTTAATCCAACCATCTGTTTTTCACTGTGCTCCAAAATTCTGAAGTCTTCCCAAAATGCTGCATAATCTTACCAACTGAGGTTGTTGCACAAATTCTTAATAGTAATAATAAAATTTTATTAAACACATGTTTTGTGTGAGGTAGTTACATATATGCTTTACTTCAGAGTCAGAATAACTTTATGGGGCAGGAATTATTATTTTTTTCATAACATCCTCTTCCACTTTCCATATCCTCCTTCGCCCTGCTGTTTTTCCCTATCTAATTACAAGAGTATACTCCTTCATCAACAGTCACAACTCCATCATTCTGCTATTTAAGCAGATCATGGTATTCTACATAGTCAGTGGTAGAAAGCCCAGCATCCCATTGTTTTAAAAACATAAGTTGATAAGATTTCATAAGCTGTCATACAAAGTCAAACAGCTAGCAGTTTGCAGACCTGGTTTAATGTCAGGTCTTATAATGCTCCATTTAACCTCACTCTTTGACACAGCTTGATAGCATTTTGACAACATAGACCAATGACAAGGACACCAACAAAAGAGCAATAGCTAGGTTCAAACTCCAGTGTTCATACATACCACTTGTATATTTTGAAAAATCAATTTATGCTTCAGATCTGCTAATTTGTAGAATGGCTGTTAGTATTACAGTACACTTAGAGTAAATGGCCAATTATTTAGACAATTATAAACTGGACTAAGGATAGCTGTAAAATTGATAACCTATCTAAGCTACCTTCATGCGACTTGAAGTGGTTAACTTTAACTTATAATGCAATTGAGATATTTAAAAAAACAGTATTACCCCATGTACTTCTACCTTATACCACCAACTCCAGCTTATAGAAAAAGTGCCTGTTAGATCTTGATCCTCTGAAATTTAAAAAAAAAAACCCAAAATAAATTGTAACACAGCAATTTCTAATGACAAATTACTTATGGAATTTAGAGCACTTAAGTGCCAAAATTTATATGAATCATTGCAAGACACAAAAATAACAGATCAGAATTCATTATTTTTTATAAGGAAATAACAGCAACAGTCTGTGAAAACATATGTTTGTGTGTAGATACACACATATACACACACAAAAGAAAATGACCATCTGAGAGCTTCATATAGACCAAAGGAAAGGCTCATCCATATTATTAAATACCCTCCAAGGATGGAATTTAGTGTTTGACATCTTACTTTTCTCTGAAGTGTCTACCACCTGTGTATTTACACTTAAACAAAGGCTGTTACATTTTACCAATATTTAAATTTTATCTGAAAACTGAATCATATGGTCTGACTTTCCTCTTTCACTCAAAATTAGTTTTGAAAATCATCTGTGCCAATGTGTACAACACTACTTGGTTTATTTTACTTGGTATTTTACTTATTTTACTTGGTTTATTTTAATATCCTACAACATCCCTTTCTTGAACATTTGGGTGATTTTCACATGTTAGTTGTCACGTGTGATATCTCATGGCCCATACATAAAGACTATATTTTCTCAAGTTAAAAACTTCAGCAATAGTTTTGTATGACTAAGGAATGTACATTTCAATCTTGTTTGCCTGTGATAAACTACTTTCTAAAATAGTAAGATTTCAATATAATCAGTAATGGCTGTGATTCCCATTGCATTACATCCTTGTCAAGGACTAACATTGTTTGACTTTCCCAATTTGATGGTATTTCATAATCTTTTATATTTCCGTATAATTCTATTTTACTAAATTTTAAACAACTTGATCTCCTTTTATGCTTATTAATTATTTGATCTTCCTTACTTTAAAATTTTATTCATTTATATTTCTAATTTCTGAAAAATTTTCTTTTCCATACTGATCCGAACATGGTTGTCAATCTATTTTGGATAATATATCCTTGTTTTGGTGAACAAATTTTATCTCACTTTTTGTAGACTACATTTAAAATCATTTTATATGTGGTTTAAGCATGTATTATTTTGATGTTAAGTTCAGAATTTTTTGTTAAAGATTTTTTGGGGGAGTGAGGGAAAGTCGATTCACAGAGGGAAGGAAGGACAGAGAGAAAGATCTTCCATCTGCTGGTTAACTCCCCAAAAGATTCCCAGTGGCCAGAACTGAGCAAATCAAAAGCCAGGAATCCCCTAAGAGTCTCCATGAGTGCAGGATCCCAAGGCTTTGGACCATCCTCTACTGCTTCCTCATAACATAAGCAGAGAGCTGGATCAGAAGTGGAGCATCCAGTACACACAATGGTGCTCACATGGAGTCCTGGTGCTAGCAGGTGGAGAATTAACCAACTGAGCCATCATGCTGGCTCCAAATTCTGGATTTTTTTAAGGCCAAATTACCCTGATTGTTTTCCAAATGCCTGATCATTTTATTTTTACATTGATGTTTTCATTTTCATATGCTTAAGTGATGTAGGGGTCCAATGCTTGTTTAGTTCTGGAACAACTGAAATAAACAATGCTCAGTAACTTATTGAAAAACTTGTATTTCCTTCTACTAAGGATAGATAGAACATATTCGCTTTACTATAAAATACCATATATGTGTACAGTCATTCATTTGAAGCTTTTTAACAGCCATGAACACTTGGTAAACTTTATCATGAAGGAGCTCTTTTCTAGCTCTTTGAGACGGTATTGGCATTCTTGCGTTATGCTCTTCATGAAAATTTTACTTCCAGCTTTAGGTACACACATACACCAAACAATGGAAATGTTGGCATTGTATTGAGTCCAGTATAAATTAGAAGAGTATTGATTAGAATATTATTAGAATATCAAGGAGTTTGTCCCATGGGTTATCATTTTGTTCATTTTTTAATCTTTGATGATGTGTTTTAAATTTTATTCCCAGCTCATTTTTAGAAGAGTATTGAGGTTTTGAATGTGTACATTGTTGCTAGATGACGTATTGAGATGCCAATAATTTTTGATGTTGGTATGAATTTAGGAAATACATTTTTATTACTTCAAATCATTTACACTTAAGTGAGCTAAATGCAAATGATTACAATGTTTCGTTCATATCCTGAACTTTCATTGTTTTAGTTGTGTTTGTCCAGTTACAGCAGTAGCAAAGAACTCTCATGTTATAATGAATGCTGGGAAGCAATGGGTGCTCTTGAAGTTTTATTATCACCTACCCTTCCTTCATCTTTTCATTTTCATTAGCTATCTATATAGGAAAGTAGGCTTTGCCATGTTTACTAACGTGTTACACATATTTTTAATCTTTTAAAAATGCATTTCATAATTTTATTTCTGTATTTGGTTTTCTGAGAATTTATGAATTTTGTAAGTATTATTTTAAAACTGTGTTTAACAAGGCAAGGAACAAAAGTAATTCCGTTACATTTAGCTAAAGTCAAGGATTTTAGGCATAATATAAGATATAGTTAGACCTCAATGGATTTGCTAATAAAATGTTACCAAAAAGGTAAGAAAATTAAAATTTTTAAAACATTTATTTCCATTTGTTAAGAATGATAATAAAATGTATTATTTAATTTATTGTTTGGGTAAATTTCATACATTGTTTTTCCAGAAGAAATAAAGCTAGCATTTTTGACAATGAATTCATCATTGTATTAAATTTGTATTTGGGTCTTTGGCATTTTCAAATGTTTATCCTTGAACAGAAATTTGAATATGAATTTTTCTTCTTCATAGAATCTTTTCAACTTTTTATCAAAACATATTTCCAACTTTATAAAATAATCTCTTTTCTACTTGATATTGTTAATAAAAACTGGATTTAAACGTTTTTGGAGCAAATATTTTTTCACTTCTGGAATAGCCATTTAAATAATGCTTTAAGTGATTCTGCATTTCTGCTGCCATTGTATTTTTTAATAATTTGTCCATTCCATCTAAATCTTCTAATTTTTTGAAATGCTGAT